GAGTGGGGTTGGGGGGGCCGGGTGGGTGGGGGGGGTTGGGGGGGTTGAGTGGGCTGAGGGGATCAAGTGGATCGAGGGGGTCAGGGGTGTCGAGGGGGTTGGGTTGGGTTGAAGGGGTGGGTGAGTTGAGGGATTTGAGTGGGTTGTGGGGTTTGGGTGGGTTGAGGGGGTTGAGGGTGTTGAGGACATCGAGGTGGTTGAGTTGGGTTGAGTGGGTTGTGGGGTTTGAGTGGATGCAGGGGGTCAAGTGGATCAAGGTGGTCGAGGGGGTTGTGTTGGGTCGAGGGAGTCAAGGGCGTCGAGGGGCTCGAGGTGGATTGGGTTGAGTTGGGTTGTGGGGGTTTGAGTGGATTGAGAGGGTCGAAGGTGTCGAGGTGGTTGAGTTGGGTTGAAGTGAATTGGAGGAGTGGAGGGGGTTGACTTGGGGGGTCGAGGGGGTTGAGTGGATCAAGGGGGTCAAGGTGGGTTGAGGAGGTCAAAGTGGTGGGGTTGAGGGGGTCAAACTGGTTGGATTGAGGGGCTCAAGTGGATTGAAGAGATTGAGTTGGGTTGAGGGGGTTCGAGGGTGTCAGGGTGGTTGGATGAGGGGGTTGAGTGGATCAAGGGAGTTGAGTGAATTGGGTTGAGGGGGTCGAGTGGTTGAGGAGGTTGAGTGGGTGGAGAAGGTTGAGGAGGTTGAGTTGGGTCGAGGCTGTTGGGTTGAGTTGGGCCAAGGGGGTTGGGTTGGGTTGGGGTGTGGAGTTGGGGTGTGGTGTGGGGTTGGGTTGGGGTGTGGAGTTGGGTGGTTGTGTGGAGTTGTTGTGGAGTTGGGTTGTATGGAGTTGGGGTGTGGTGTGGAGTTGAGTTGGGTTGTTGTGAAGTTGGGTTGAGTGGTGTTGGTGTTGGAGTTGGGTTGTGGAGTTGGGTTGTTGTGGAGTTGGGTTGGGTGGTGTTGGTGTTGGGTTGTGTTGGTGTTGAGTTGTGGGGTTGGGTTGTGTGGAGTGGGGTTGGGTTGTGTGGTGTTGGTTTTGGGTTGTTGTGGAGTTGGGTTGGGTGGTGGTGTTGAGTTGTGGAGTTGGGTTGTTGTGGAGTTGGGTTGAGTGGTGTTGGGTTGGGTTGGGTTGATGTTGAGTTGTTCAGTTGGGTGATGTTGGAGTTGGGTTGTGTGGAGTGGGGTTGGGTTGTGTGGTGTTGGTTTTGGGTTATGGAGTTGGGTTGTGTTGTTGGGTTGTTGTGGAATTGGGTTGTTGGGTTGGGTGGTGGTGTTGAGTTGGGGTGGTGTGGAGTTGGGTTGGGTGGTGTTGGTGTTGGAGTTGTGTTGTTGGGTTGTTGTGGAGTCGGGTTGTTGGGTTGTGTGGAGTTGGGTTGTGTGGAGCTGGGGTGTTGTGGAGTTGGGTTGTTGGGTTGTTGTGGAGCTGGGTTGTTGTGGAGTTGGGTTGTGTGGTGGTGTTGAGTTGTTGTGGAGTTGGGTTGGGTGGTG